GTCTGTTTTTTAAAAAAATCTGAAGTTCTTGGATTTATAGATCCGAGTTTGGCTATCACTGGCGAATCCTCTCCCACCCTCTCTCCAGCATCCCAGTGTGGTGCGCCAGGCTGCCGGCCGCCCCTGGCCACGGCGGGCAGCCTGCTCGCTCCGGGAAATCGCGGGAACGATGTCTTAGCCACTGCCACCTTAATCCGCTTGCCCAAGGAGCGCAGTCGCTGCGGAGCGGGTTTTCTGCATGGTAACCCAATTTCCGCAGGGCTGGGGCTTTAAGCTTGGCTTCTGCGTGTGAACGGATCGCTGCAGGAGACTGAAATCTTCCCTGAAGATACTCCTCCGAGACAGTGTGTCAACATGTAACTCCTTAGCCAAATATTACCTTTACTTAAGGCCTAAATAAAGCAGGCATGTGAGCGGGTCTGCTAGCTGCTTGTATGTTTAAGGTCCATGGTACTAAAGTGGTTTGCTGACTAGTGATGCAGAGGAAACCGTCTGAACTGAAGAATCATGCAATAATAGTCCTCGAGTGCTTTTAGTGGTGGGTAAGCTGTGGTAAAGAGTAAATGGCATCTTACTTGCTTACATTGATGCTGCATAGATAGGTATGGCAGGAGAATGGTCCTTGTCAAGGGCCTATCAGCTATTCAAGCGCCGTTAGCAGAGTACTAATGTTTCATTTTAAGTGCATGTGCAGATGTTTTTTAATTAAATTCGAATCTTGTGCAATTAAGGTAGACTAGGTTCTTTCCTGACTGGAATGGCTATGCTGGGAAGAGGCTTAGAACGTGTCTTGTTTGGCCTTGCTTTTAATTATGCAGCATGATCAAATTCTACAGAAATATTAAAACTTCAGACCTCATGAGGCAATGCCTTTCTTTCACAGAGGGAAGACCAAGCAAACAGCAGACTGTCATGCACTGCGGTTTAACCCGCCTGAGTCATGTTTTATTAACGCTTTCTGACAGTAAAATTACTCTGAGTACAGCAATTTCATGTGAAATGTATGTTGCAGCTACACAGCAGTATGAAGCTATTAGAGTCCAGTAAAAAAGTGAATTTACCAACCTAGCTTACTTTGCTGTTTATTATCACTGGGTAGACAAGATTATTTTTGCAGCAATTAACAGGAAAAAATGTGATTTGCTTGTTGAGGGATTGACTTGTTTTTTTTTTTTTTTCCGCTATCCAAACTATATCAATTCTTCTGTCTGCACACCAGTAACTAATAATATGCTTTGACAGCTATTTTGATGTTGCTGTTCCACTGAAGCACACACCAGTGTGAGATGATAACGCGGTTGTCTGATACTTGGATTCTGTATTGCAAGCAGCAGCCAGCTTGAAGCCACGCTGGATTTTTAAAAAATGTGTCTAACACTATTAATTATTAATGTATAACCATGATTTTGGATACAGCTTTCAAGAACACTCCGTTAATTTTGTTGACCTTTTTAAAAATGCTTGGAGAGTAGCTCAGTACTGATGGGGGTTATTTTTTGTTTCCTTTTTTTTAAAATACTTGGAGGTAGAGGTGTGTTTTGTTTGCTTGTATTGTTTTTGTTTTGTTTTTTTCCTTCTTTCAGTTTGGTCGGACTTCATTACTTTATAGTAATATGTGAAACACTTTTGTCTATTTGTGAAAAAATAATGGTCTTTGCGATCTCGTCCCAAAATGCCAGTTAGCAGGTGAAGAATTACATCAGTTTTAAATGTAAACATGTTCAAATGAGTATACGAATATCTATATGCACATGCACCAGGACCCCTACAGCCAGCCGTGGCCTTCATTGGTGGAGGCGCAGAACCTGTTGCTGGCCCTGTGAGGCGACACGTGTTCCGCAGCGGGCTGAGCAGACGGGGCCGTGACGCGGCTCCCGAGTCCTGTGGTGCCCCTGCCCGCACCTGGTGTGGGAGCAGGGGCTCGGCGCAGCGAGGGGAGCTGCGGTGTGTATCTGCTCACGGTGCATCTGTTGCAGGGATGTGTTTCCTGACTAACCGGTGTGTTGTGAAATGTTGCATTTCAGGAAACTATTGCTGCTCTCTTTGCAGTGTTTCGTATATAGTTAGCTGGAAATAATATGCGAGACTTGTTTGTCTAGTCTGGTTTGACTGAATAGTAAAGCCAGTTGCAAGGTGTTGGGTCATGTATACTGCTGAAAGGGCTAAACTTTTTTTCTTCTTTTTTAAAAAAAGGTAGCGGTTTAATTTTGCTGGTTCTTTTGAGCTTTGTAATTTTAGTGTCTGCCGAGACCCTACATTTTATTCGTAATTTGTGCTTTTACAGTATGTGGTTTTATGGAGCATATGTGTGTGTGTTTCTTTTTTTCCTTGTTTGTGCGAGGGGCGAGCGCCCCTCTAGCCGAGTCCTGCCGTGCCTCGCCTGTACCGTGCAGCGAGCGATAGCGTGAGGGAGCCCCTCGGGACCGAGGACGATGTGCTCTGTAATGAGATGTAGCCAATCTGGTTAGCTTAACCAGATTGAACGCATTAAGGGTTCACAGATCAAAGCCTTTCTCTTCAACAGTGCAAACACTGTATTCTTCGGATCACAATGTGAACCGTATTCAGAAGGCTCCCAACTCCTGTGGCTAATAGCTCCTCTAAGAGCCATGTTGACTTCTAAAGCTGCCCGTCCCAGGTGACACATGGCTCTGCAGCAGCTAGCACATGTGAAAGGAGGTGTGGGAGAAGGAAGAACTTGGGGTTAGAGCACCTGCACATGTTACATGTGACATAAAGACCTGCCCTGGAAGAGCTCCTCCATGCTGCTAGTAATGCAAGGGCAGCTCCTATGCGTTTTAGCAGCTTGGCAGAGCTTCGGTACAAAATTCTTGTGCTGCTTCGGCCTTATGGACTGGTACCTTCTGTGGTTCACAGCTTGTTAAATACTCAGTAGCGTCTCTATTTTTTATTTCTTTAAATTGAACAAGGTAATTTCCCTATAGGTAGGGATCTCAGCGTGCCAGCTCTATTTCCAAGGTTTTTTTGCAGTGCAGCTGCTGGCTGTCAGTACACCGTACACCTAAACATTGGTTCTTGTCTAGTATAAAAGAAGTTAGCTGTGCTATCATGCAGTATGATATTATTGATATGTAAATCTTGGCAGAATATGAGAATCAGATAAGCATGAATACAACAGCATACGTTCTAGGACAAATTTAAGTTCAACACTTGAAAAATTCTGACTCATTTGTTCTTCCTGCTCTACTTCTCATGGAGTCATTTTTAAAGCGGAGGGAATGCCTTCTCTAGGGGCTCTGAGTGCGATCCCCTTTACCTTATGTTATCTTTTAACTGTTATCTTTTTCTCCCTGCTCCTTTCCTCTAGCTATATTTAACTTATGTGGTTATTTTGAACTGAATTGCATATAACTTTTAAAAAGGTTCAGTGCTTCCTCTCACACTGATGAAAATATTTAGAGAGTCCCGAAGGTTTTTATTAAGCAGACGTTCTCTCTTTTGGATACGGGTGAGCTTCTGTTTTTTCAGAGAGCATCGTCTTCCCCATTAACTTGTCTGTTTAATGAAGTATGCTGTCAAGGCCTGTCTTTAAAGCTACAGCAATAAGAAACTCTTAAAAATGCTTTGTTGTGTTTTAGTATCAGGGATGTGAATCATTTTGGCCACTTCTTCATTTCTGGCCTTGAGTATTTAGCATTCACTGCAGGCTAATGTGACAACCTAAAGAGGAAGAGGTGACTGTATACCTTTGGCAAAGCTTTAGACATGACAAATTGCTGCCAACTAAAGAGTTGTGTAGGAATTGTGAGAGGAAGTACGTGACTGAGCTTTCAGCTTGCGTTCCCTTTCTGCATCCCCTTTCTGCTGGTGTTGAGTTCCTTTCTCCTTATCCTGCTGGGTAGGAGTTAATGAAATACATAATTTAGCAGGCAGATATCAAGTCTGTAGAACATTTCTCTTACTCTAAATAGGCCAAAACAATTGGAAGCTCATTCACTTTCTTTGAATTTCAGCTGACACTGTTTTCTAGCTTTGAGCCTGGGGTTATGAAGACTGTAGTGCTGCAGTAGTATTTTTGTGGAGGATGGGAAAGGGAGAAACTGTTAAAATGTTTTCTTTGCAAACACTTGGTAACTAAAGTAGAGAGGATGGCACATTTGGTGGTTTTAATATCAGCGTTACCTTGGTGGCTAGAGCAGTGCTCACCTTGCCTGCTGGAGCCAGCAGATGTTAGTTTAAACAAGGAGTGGGATGGGTTTGAGCGCAGTTTTATGCAGCCTTGGAGGACAGATGCATTTGTTGCTGCTTGTCACTGGGCCATATACTTAGTTCTTGGGTATTGTTACATAATCACCCAAGTACATGATTTTTTTGAATGAATCTACAAAATTTTGAAGTGATCTCTTCCATTGCTGCCAGTCTTTTTCTGAAATCTTGCTTTGAAGTGGCAGAAGTCATGTAGTGAATTTCAATTTGATTAAAAAGCAAGTATGGACATTCTTACCAGTGAAGAGCTATGCTGTTTAAGATGCCTACTTGACAATGCAGACTCCATAGTCTCTCAATTTCAGCTTGTTAAAACAGAATTAAATCACTAATTGTTGGCCAGTTGCACAGTAAACCTAGCAACTGAGTCTGTTCAGGGAAGCTCTATAGCCTGGTCTGATGCTCCCCCTGTCTAAAATCTGGTATCACAACCCAAGAGCAGTTCTTTAAAGCTGCACGCTGTGGCACGTGGCTCTACTTCCCTTTCTGAGTGACGGGTAGTTCAACAGAATCCATACCCTGATACACTCTCGACTGCTTCTGTTCATCCCTATAGTCACAGACGCTGATCGCAGAGGGGCCCTTCCTTTGAGTCCGACTGTCTATTGATATGCCAGGAAGGTTGTCACTACTGCCCGAGGCAAAATGTGTGTGTGCCTTAGCTGGATTCGAGAAAAACTCTTCTGCCTAATAACAAATGTTTTCACAGTGTTATAGCAGGACAATAAGGCAGTAGTAAACTAACTTGAAAATAATTGATTGTCTTGCAGTGAAAATGTCCTGTTTGGAATGGGAAATCCTCTGCTTGACATCTGTGCCGTGGTGGACAAGGACTTCCTCGACAAGTAAGTCCTGCGGTTTTGCTCTTCTCATCAGCTTCCTTTCCAGAACGAAGCCAACTAATCAATACAGGGCTGGGTGCTTGGATCATGCCAAGTTTGCCATCCTCTCTGGGGCCTTCTACTGAAAGAAGCCTATGTTATATCAGTAACTTGATTGCTCCTGCTATCTGAAACTGTTGCTGTTGTCAGGTAGCAACTCCCGTGGTTTTGTGCTGTGTTTTTGCTATCTATTATCTAGCAATTATTATTCTAGTGTCTGCATGCTGTTTTTCCTAGCTCTTAATTGGAAGGAACCATTAAAAGGCCCAATGAAATAAACAACAGAAATGTTAAGTTAATGACTTAGCAAAGATTTTGGCATGCTGTAGGTAATGCTCATAAGAATATTTGTACATTACTCTTACTATACTATGACAGCACTTCCCCCCTCTTTCTCCAGTGATGACTTTGGGGCAAATAAGCCATTTCTGTAACATGCTAAGAGAAGTTGTGCAAGTGTATCTTCGTTTTTATTTCAATTTATCAGTCAAGAGCAGGACCACTTCTTATCATGTGGTCTCTTATCTTGCTTGAGCCTGGTTGTTCTGCTACCAACCGTATGACTGAATCGCTATGTGGCTGGTGATGTTAAGTTTACTCATTTTCTGGTCAGTTTATAGAGATGTGGCTCTTCAAGAGCTGTAAAACATAATTTGTGCTTTTAAATCCTTTTGCATGAGCTAAGTTGTCTCCAGCTGCTACTTAATATTAACTAAGCGATCAATAATTTGATTTCATCTTTCAAAGTGTTCACAAATCTTGTTTTATGTTCAGCAAAATAATCTTTTTTTTTTTTTTTTTTTTTTTCTCCTCCATTTATTCCTTTAGTTACTAATAGGAATGCTGGTTCAAAAATAGATATCTTATCACTGAATAAAGAACAGCTGCAGAGCTTTTGTCAATATGTGCATTGTCAGCCACAAATATTTGGCTATAGTGTGTTAATAAGAGGCATAATTTGTTTCACAGCAGGTATTTTTACACTCGAGTTTTATTTAAAGGTGGATTTAAGTGAGAGTCTGAATGTCATAAATTGGAGGCAAAAGACAAAGTTGTAATGGTGTGTTTAACTTTTAAAAAATATATGGAACTTACAACTCCTGAGAATAAGCCCTGATTTCTGAAAAGTTAAATTATTCTGATTTAATTTGCTCATATGTTTTCACTGAAAGAAACTGAAAACAAGGCTCTGAACAGACACATATTTATGTAATATATTTCTTAAGGCAAGTAAAGAAACAAAATCCAGCCTCCCCAGCTAATCCTAATAATTTGTTACCATGATGCTTTTCACTGAACCTAAAATGCATTGCAGAATTTCACCGACCTAAAAATCTGTAGTCATATATATTTAAATTGGAGTCCCGTCAGACAAATTAAACCATCTTTGTGAACAGCATATACTCGGTGGGCATTTTCTGCTGTAAAGTATTGCATTATTTAAAATGCAAGCTGTCCTCCAACAGCAGCTGTGTAAGGGACCAGCTGATAGTGTGATGACTGATAAGAACCTGGAAACTGGGAAGCCTGATGACCTTCTTCACACATTCTTGATTTTTTTTCTTTTAGTCTTTAGTTTATAATAGTCCAACTTTACAAGTGAATAAGGCAAAATAAATCCTGCGCTACTTCAGAAATGGGAACCAAATCCCACGTTTCTTGAGACCGTGGATAAAAAAGCAAAGCTAGCTTAGATAACTGCTAAAATAAAGATTCAAATGCTGCAGAGATGCAAGAGCATGGATGCTCCAGGTCTCTGAAGCATTTGACAGAAATTAATCATAGCTGAAGCTGCCAGAGATCAACAGAGAATGTGGAGCTGCTGCTTTGCCTGGTTTCCGTGGGCTTCCTTGTCAAGGAAATCCATCTCTAGCCATGCAGCGCTTGGCACCTTGTTAATGGTCAGTTAGCCTTGTGGTGCCAGGGTCTCACATCTTCAGCTGCATGGTCGCCTCTAATGGGGCCATCAGACCAGATGGGCTCTGGCTTAAAGTAACCCAGAGGAAATTGAACTGAACACCTGTAAGAATTTTGTATGTTGAACTATTCCGCTGCTTTTATTTGTTCAACCTCCTCTCTTGCATAACCACTGCTTTAAGAATTATCTTTATGGTGAATACAGGATTTGACTTGATGTTATAAATTTAATCATAATTTCATAATTTTCAGATTTTCAGTGAAATAAGGGAATTAGTCCTGCTATCACCCCCGCCTTTTTTTTTTTTTTGTAGCTTCAATTAACAAACAAAATGCAGACGGAAACAGCATGAAACCATGCTGGAGGTCTCAGTCCTCTTAACAATATTGAAGTGGTTCTGCTACATGTTGGAAGTAAATCTGAAAGCCAGTACACCAGCAATCCTACCCCTGGCAGACCTGAAACAGCTTGCTGCCATGCAGTGTTGGCTCAAGGAAACAAGCAGTGCTGAGGTTGTTGTGGCACTGAGCTGTTAAAATAGTCCCTTCTTCTTTCTTTTAATGTGTGTTTTGGTTTAATTTGTTCTCTGCATGAGTTTTGGCGGCATTACTCCTTTCCTAGATCATTTGCTGGAGAGGTGATCTTAATTTACATCACAGCAGGACTTGGGCATCTTACGTTTCCAGGCCACATCAGCAGCTTGGCAGAAGAGCTCAGGTCTCTGTCAGGTAATGTCAGTCATCGCTTCCTATCTCTCTCCAGGGAGACAACAAAACAGTGTGAGCAATACTGGTGGTGATGATGAAAGCTGCTGATATCCAAAACCTCTTCAGTTCTTGCTCACGGAGCTGGAGAGCCATCCTGAAGCAGATAGAGTCCATTGCTTGTCCTTGATTTCCTGAGCCTCTTTCTAGAGGAAATACCAGGAGTACAAGCTTTTCTGTCTTTTTTTCACACGGTAAAAGTACCTTTTAATCCTCTAGCATGTATATGCTTGCTGAAAGGGGAAAAAAGAGAAAAAGTAGCAGACATTTTCAGGGCGAATTATAACTTTACCTAAACCGTAGCTTCCTTAATTGACCAGTAAAAAGGATATGTTATTTGTAATCCCCAGTTTCTATATAACCATGTGTAATATCTATCAGCCCATGCTCTTTAAAAGGAGTGGAGATAGAGGGGAAATTGTGTGCCATATTTTTCAGACCAGCGTGTGAATTTACCTGCTGTATTTCACTTTATGTTCTGAATCTTGAACAGAGCCATGATCTCAGAAGCAGGCCATGTTTATGAACCTTAGGCATCTGCATGCCAATATCCGTTGTATTGGACATGCCCAGGCTGATTACTTGCTGATCAGTGTCCTTGTCCAGAGTTCTAAGCTCAGGAATGCTATTTGATTTGCTTATCAGCTGTAAAGCAGCTGAGTCATTTTTCTGCTTATATGGAGGATTTTTTTTTTCTTAAAATTAGAGGGCTTCCAAAATCTTTGCACGACTTCACTGAATATGCTCAGAAAGATCTGCAGTTTTTCATGGCATTCACCACAGTATTATCTGCTCCTTAATTCTCTCCCCTGTCACTTAATGCTATTGAAGCTCTGTAAATACACAAGTCACACTCTGTGAAGCAAGTAGTGGGTTTTTGTTCTTTTCACTCCTAGCTGAAAAGTAGATTTTAAGAAGTGTGAAGTTGAATGGGGTCTTTTAAGTGTGCATGTGTTTTGGGTGGTAGTGGTGATTAATATATGAAAAGAGGCTTGCTATAGTAAAGAAATGTTAGCATTTTGACCTGTAACTTCACAAGTATGCTGAGGGCCTCCTTCATTGTACACCACCCTGTGGCAGGGTCACTCCTTGCCTGTCCTCACTGCAAAATGCTGTTGATGGGAGACAGGTTAGTAAAGCATAAACTTCACCTATAGAGTGATGTTGATATCTGGTAAATTCAACTTCCTTGTTTGATGATGTTTAGTTCACTTGCTGTGATGGAAGTGAAGGAGATATGCACATTTGGTCTTTTTTTTTTTCCCTACCCTTGTGAGAATTTGAATTATAAATAAGGATAAAAATGGATAACCAGCCAAAACGCAAAACATCTGCTTCCTTCTGCTAAATTTAAGCTGGTCTGTGCATCTGTGGCTTTAGCCGTTATGCCATGTATGGTTCTCCATATTTTTCAGCTTGTTACCTTCAGCTGGTATCTAACTCAGTATAGAACTGTAATGTTCTATAGCAAAAAACAAAGTACGTTGTTCACACTGTTAATTACTCCCCCAAACCGAGGTCTCAAAATAATCCTAATGCTTCAATACAAAGCAAGCCCTTCCCTCAAACAGATGTGGGCAGGACCTTGCGGGAGGACTCTGGAAGGTGGTGGTGACTCTGTGCTAGGAAGCATCTGTGTAGAGAGTTTGCAAGTCCAAGGCGTGGATTTTGCTGCCAGGTTATGTGCAAGATGTACAATTTTAAGCCTTTTCTGCTTCTTCCATGCGTTTAGTTTGACTTTGGGTGCTTTGTCAGCCCTCTGGGACAGATTAACACATTTTTAGTATTGTTTTGAGTTGGGAGTTATCTGTCTGTACAGTGCAGAAAGTACTGAAAGTACAGAGCAATAACTTAAAAATCTGTTGTCCCTGAAAAGTTGCCCTTTTTTTGGAAGATAGTTTGCTATAATGTTCCATTGTTTCTCTAATCCTTATGAAAGGTTGCTACTATATAGTTTCTGTAACATAGACTCATTTGTTAGAAAAGCTGAATAACTCAAGATTTTATTATCCCTCTGTTTTGAGTTGTATTTATGGAATTCTATTCAACTTCTCTCAGTTAGAGTCTGAGCATAAAATGTTGTTAATGATAGTGTTCAGCCGAATTGCATCATCTGACTGCTCTTAAATTACAAAATTTCAGCTTTTGCTTACAAGAACAGGAGAATCATGGCACCTTTCAATACTAACGTGCCTATAAATCTGGGAGGATGCCTAACAATGTAATTAGAGCTGTTGTGCTCTTTCCTACAAGCCTGATCGTGTCTTCTGCTGTGTTTATGT